AATGTTTAGAGAACTTTAAAAGGACTTTGCTCCATCAACTGGACATCCATGTGGATGGCCAAACACGTTAGCCCCTCAGTTCCTTGATCTCCTCATCACCAATGACCTTCTACGCTACACAGCTACCTGTGCCTTGCAATTTCTCTATTTTAAGATCAATCAAACATGTTCCTTCCAAGCACTACTTCCTATCCTTCAGTCAGCTTGTACCATCTGTCTTCGATGGCACATCTCACCAGGAATCGCCACCCAGGATTCTCCTCCCCAAGAATCTCCTCGTATCTCCTTTACCTTTTTATGTCCTTGGTTATTTCCTCCTTATGACCCTCTGATTCCATAAGTCAACATTTCAAGCATTCTTTAGCAAGTATCTTAAACTCCCTTGCTCCTTTGTCCTTCCGTGGCATCTTCCTAGCAAAAATGCTAAGCTGAAAGGAACCCCAGGCCCTGGCTCCCCCATGCCTGCTCCTGAACAGCTGAAGGCCACTGGAGAAAATCACACATCAGGAACCTTGCCAAATTTATGGTCACCAACCTCAATGGACCCACAGTATTTGCGGCATTGAGAAATACTTACAAAGTAAGGAAACACAGTATATAAGGAAGGAACTCTGGGGACCCCAAAAAGTAAGGATTGCATGCTGGTAAAGAACCCAGCAAATAAAACAAAGAAATAGATCAGTATAGATGAGAACCAAGTGAGAGAGTAACCTGGAAGCAAAGAGAAGAGAAAATTTCAGCAAGGGTTGGCTCACGGCCATTGCCTCTTCTGAGCAAAGTTCTTTGTGTCAGGCCATTCCCTGGGTCAACAGCCAGCCAATAGAGAAGCAGTCGTAGGGTAAGGTGCTCACCCTGATCCCATAAGTGGTTATTCTTGTGCAAAGTTCAGCCCACTTTATCTCCTTTTGCAGGGGGTTGAGAGAGTGGCAGTTTCAGCTGGTAGTGGACATTGATCTCAGTAGACATATCGAAAGAACAAGGAAGGGTCCAAAATCTTGAGGTCTTGGAGAGGATGAAGTGAAGAAACGTAAAGCATAGAAGGAAGGGAGATTGCAGTTGGAAAGTGGAGCACCAGAGGCAAAGTTATCAAAGGTCATGCAAGAATGGGTAGTTCCAAGGTCCAGAGTGTAATCATAAGAGTGAGGTACAAAAGTGAAGTAGGAGGGATTACTAACGGAGTATTAAAGTTAGTTTTTTCTGGATCTCCCTGGTCAAATTATGAGCTCTCAAAAAACACTAATCTTTCCATTTCTTTATTATCTCTAACACCTGGCACATAGTAGGCACACTGTAAATAAAGAATGGATAGGCATTTAAGCTAGCTACTGGAGATACGCTGGTCAGAAGAAACAGACACAGTACTAATGGATTATACAGTCTTCTGGAGGAAGAGACAGACATTAACCAAATAATCAGACAAATGCATCTAAAATTACAAATGGCAAATGGGTACTGAAGTTAACACTGCACCATGATAATGTGTCATAAAGAATCTGGCCTTGTCTGGGGAGAGAAGGAGTCACTGAGAAGTGATGTCTGAGCGAGAACTGAAGGATGTATAGTAGTTAGCCAGCAGAAGAAACAGGAGAAGAGTGAGCCGGAGAGAGGGAGCAGCACGTACAAAGGTCAAGGTGCTCAGCATGCAGAGACCAGGAGTAAGAGTTCTTGGAAACGATCTTGAGAGGGAGGCAGGGGATGACGGTGGGAGAGAGGGATGATAATATCTGCAACAGTTATGCTCCATCTTCGTGGCTAGCAGAACCCCAATTTTGTTCAGATAGCAAGGGAAATTATCACGATTGGTGCAAGCCAATGAAATCTCATTTCCTCTTTGCCAATGACTGGTCTTCTTGAGGTAACAGCTGATCAATCCAATCAGATGTAAGAGAAAGTCTTATCCAGGACTTGTAGGAGAAATTTTTCTCCATGAAGTGAAAAGCACATAAGGAGAATGCTCATTTTCTCCCAACACTTCCCTGCTGCTTGAGATGGTGTGTTGTGGAAACATGATACTTACGACAGCCAACTTCTGGCCGTATGGAAAAGGCCAAGAAAATCGGAGACATAACCTTAGTTCTGACATCACTGAGTCATCAAAATAAGTCTGGAAATGCTTCACTCCAGACTTCTTGCATGATGTATGATAAATAAATTATAAGCCACTATTGTTGAGTGTTGGTTTTTTTTTTCTTTTTTAACAGCTAAAATAGTCCTAACCATAGAGCAATTTCCAAAATCAGTCATGGAAGAGAATCACATAAAATGATACAAAATGCTTTATATCATCAGTTCCTTTCTCTTTACAAACATCAGATGATTCAGACCACAACCAAACAGATGATAGAAAATAGGTCTTGGTTTGATACCATTTTTAACATAATCTAAAAGATACCCTTGTTATTACTTTGTTCTGTGTACAGCTTTCTCCTTGCTTTCCTTGAATTCTTTGTTCCAGAGAAGAGGTATAGTAAGGATGCTTTGAAGTGATATGATTGATGTCACTCCTTTACCAGTGTCACTGACAAGGACACATTTACTATCCACATGGACAATGAGCATACGGCATGGAGTGAAAAGGCCTGCACACTAATAAGCCCTTGACTTTGACTCAAAGGCATAATCATAATCAGAGATGAATGGGTACTTAGAGATTTTTGGGGAAGGACAGTAATGGGATTACAAGGTCCAAATATCTGGCAACCTATGCAATATCACACAGTCAGAGTAGGCCGAGAGCAAGGCCAACTGATCTCAGCCCAGGACTCACATAGTGTAGCGTAGGAAAGAACACACACAGGCTTTGGAGTCAAGACAGACCAGTCTGATTTCTGTGGGTCACTTACTAGCTGCATGATCCTTAGCTAGTTATTTAATCTCTCTAAATTTAAATTCCCTCCTTTAAAATTAGGAATAATAAAATTTATTCTGTAACAAGGTAGAATTAAATGAGATATTCTATGTAAAACAAAAATCCCCATTAAGTAGTAGGTATTGCCATGCCATATAAACTGTTCAGTTGTGTTTTGGTTAAGAGGCAGCAGAACTAAAGAGCATCTTCATGACAGAGAAGCTCAATTAACAAAGTCATCAAATAACTCATCTGATCTTTCAGATGAACAGGCGATTGCTTATTGTGACAGGTAATCCATACCTTGTTTACAGGTCACTGGAGACAACTTAAAAAACCTATGCTTGTGTTTCATAGGGATGTTTGTTTCATAAGTTTAGTATTTGATGTCTGTGCCAGTTTTTGTTTGTTTTTCAGTTTTTATTTTATGGGTTCATCTACAGTACAAATAGCTTTATTAGGCTTCTTCCCCCAAAGAGTTTTGTAATACTATGGGAAAATAATACAAAAAAGCCTAGAATAGGGTGGGTTTGAAGGGTGGGTAGGTAGATGGACAGACAGATGAACAGGTTGCTGACGGAAAGCCCATCTAACTGACTCATAGGTATCCTTTCTAAAGGAACACAAGTCTGACAGTAACTTTCCCTCTTCCCCTTTTTGGTTAGGTCTCTATATTATAACAATGGTCTGCCTGGACTTTATAGTTCCCAAGTAAGTGGAAATCAGTACAAGCTTTTTATGAACTACTTAGAGTTACAACTAGTATCTGATTAAAGATCTAATATAGAGATACTATCTCCAGAATCGTAAAAAGTTGGCCTAAAAGAACATCCAGGAAATGCTGTTAGGTCATTCTCTGTCTTGTTATAAAGAAATACCTGAGATTTGGTAATTTATAAAGAAAAGAGGTTTAACTGGCCCATGGCTCTGCCAGCTTTACAGGGAGCATAGTGCTGGCATCTCTCAGCTTCTGGGAAGGCCTCAAGGCGCTTTCTTTTACTTATGGTAGAAGGTGAGGCGGGAGTAGGCATGTCACGTGGTGAGAGTGGGAGCAGTAGAGTTGGGGGAGATGCCACACACTTTTAAACAAAGACCTCGCTACAACTCACTCACTATCTCAGACACAGAACCAAGCCATGAGGGATCCATATACCTCCAGCTAGACTCCGCCTCCATCACTGGGGATTACATCTCAACGTGAGATTTGGAGGGGACATCCGAACTATATCAAATTTAAGAAGTTGTTTTTCCTAAATCAAGCAAAACTGATCCTGTGCAGGAAGCAAATAATATATTAATAATTTCTGTATGCCTGAAGTCCAGCTAGGTTTGCTAAATGAAGGAGCCAATAACATCTACCCTCCATAGGATGCAAAAGAGAAAAACAAAGAAATAACCTCTGTTGAATGCTAACTGTGGATAAAGCACTGTGCTAGAAGCTTTTTATATGTGAAATTTTATTAACTTAAAAAAAAAAAAAACCTGTGAAGTCAGTATTATCTGTCCCATTTTGCAGATGAGGAAACAGACTCAGAGAACTCCAGTTAACTTGCCAAGACCCCACAATGGATCCATGGCTGAGCTGATTCCAGGCCAGCTACCCTCGTGAGGATGAGGATTAAAATGATGTACTTTTACTTCTAAAGGTAGTAGAACAGGATAAAATCCATTGTCACTTCTTACTCTCCCCTAGAAATTTGTAATATACATGAAAATATATCTAAGACACTTTGGTGGCTGGATACCACTCAGCAGGTCTAAGCATGATGATTTATTCAATTGCTGCTGGTGGCTGTGCAGGGGAACATGCCTAGCGCCACCCTGTTGATGATAACACTCTGTTATGGCTGAATGAGCAACTCTTCCTGGAAACCATTGCCATGTACAAGTGTGTTAGAGAAACCAGGTTTTTTATTTCCTCATCTGGTACAAAGGAACCCTTTCTATCCTTCCCAGGAAGACATTGGTTAAGATATGGCTGAGGGAGGCAAAGGGAATTTTTTTCAGTGGTAGTCGCCACAGACGGTTGAGGATAAATTGGCATTGTTCTCAATAAGGGTTATTGTAATCATGGTCCAAAGTCTGGCAGGAATTTTTTTATTATTATTAATTTGTTTGCTTTCATTTTTGAAATGAAATGTTTGCTTATCATTTTCCCGTGCTAGACAGCTGGGACACCAAGGCGGTTCTGCGGCGAGCCACAGGTATGAAGCCCCAGAACTTCCCCCGAGGGCACAGCTTCCATTTCAATTTGGGGCAATAATAAAATCTGCTCAAGAAGAGTAGTTTGGGAACTTCCTGGTGGTTCAGATTTCAAGCACAGCTTGTGCTTAATCCTCACCCAGGCACCAAGGCTCAGCGTCAGCAGGAGTTCAGGAATCTTCAGGACAAGGCACTTTTCTGAGCATTGGACCAGCGACCACCTGGCTTCCAGTAAGTACTGCTTGGTGTATCTGGTTTGGACTCCCAAGGCTGGGATGATCTAGAAGCTTTTTAGCAATTGAGCAATTGCAAATTTGGAAATGGAAAATTTTGCAGATATGCAGTATTTCCATGGGCTCTTTCTTCATAAGCTTCCTAGGCTATACTAGAGTCAGAGGGAAACAGGACGGACCTCTTGGTATGTTGTATTCCCTAAATCCAAAATAATGTTATATTTTAAATAGGTTAGGCGTGATTGTGGGGAGATTCTCCTGAATGAGATCAAACAGCTAAATCAGAAAGGTTTTCTTTTTTGTTTGGGGGCAACGACAAGAAATGCAAGCAGAACTATGACAAGACTTAATTCTACTTTCTTAGGTAGGAGGAAGAACAAAGTAGGCCAGCTCTCAAGTTAGAATTCTGGTTCTGCTTCTTTTTCATTACATGATCAAAGGCAAGTTGTGTAATCTCTCCGATAACCGTTTCCTCATCTGTAAATGGGCATTGTATCATTGTAAAAACAGTGCAAGCTTTAGAGTATGGTTATGAGGATAGGATGAGATTGTATATGTATACGTGAAATTATATGTATACATATACATAAAATCTTTCATATACATATTGCTTAGAAGTGTCTGGAATGTATTAAGTACTCAAAAAATGCTACCCATTATTAAACAACCATAGAATCATAGAATATCTGAGCTGGAAAGGACCTAACAACTAGCATTTATTGAGCTTCTATTATGCACTGAGGAGTGCTCATCAACAGGGTGTCTCCAGTGATGCTCCCAGCAATCTGATGAGGGTGGTAATAACCTTTATGTTACAGATGAATAAATGGAGGTGTAGAGAAGTATTAGAAATGGGTGTAGAGAAGTATTAGAAATGGAAGTGTAGAGAAGTATTAGAAATGGAAGTGTAGAGAAGTATTATAAAGTATCAAAGATCACATTCCTCATAATTCATGGAGATGAAATTTAAACCCAGATGCCAGAGCTAGCACTCTAAACCACCACACCCTACTGCCTTATCTGTCCTCTCATTTTTATGGTGGGTGGGGAGATGAACAAGGAATGGTCACAACACACGACTCCGGAGCACTTCACAGACACTGGAAGGACAGAGATATCCTCCAAAGCACACTTTGACATCCACAGGGTACAGGGCAGGCAAATGTTATTTGGGAGTGTCCATGAGCATGAATGTGGTGCTGTGTGGAGTTCTGCCAGGGGACCTAGGTCCAAGTCACCTCAGTCTTCTCTCAAATGCAACTTTTCATTTGTAAAATGAGCTGTCTCAGAATGAGGCCATGCTGAAACACACAAAAAGAGTATGCAAATGCATTTCATAAACTTTAAAGGCTTTAGAAATATTTTATTTTTAAAAATGATTTTTTTGGCCTTTTGACAAAGAGCAGCTCAAAAACAGTGGCGTAATCTAGGGTCACTGCAACCTCCACCTCCTGGGTTCAAGCGACTCTCCTGTCTCAGCCTCCTGAGGCATTATAGGCAAGTGGTAGGATTACAGGCGCGGACCACGATGCCTGGCTAATTTTTGTATTTTTAGTAGAGACAGGGTTTCACCATGTTGGTCAGGCTGGTCTCGAACTCCTGACCTCGTGATCTGCCTGCCGCAGCCTCCCAAAGTGCTGGGATTACAGGTGTGAGCCACCATGCCTGGCAGTCCTTATTCTTAAATTTCCCCTGGAGAAAGCGAGCCTCTGGCATGGAGAAGGGCTTATCTTGGGCTTCCTCTAAGCCAGTGAGGCTTTCTCAACTATATTGGCTCCATGACATCCTGCCCTTTGCCCTGTTCTTATCTCTTCTTGGTGTTGCCATCCCCTAGCTCTCTTATCAAAGCCTCTTATGCAGCAAGAACAGAGAAAGTCCAAGGAAGACAGCTCCTTCAGTCATCTCAACAACACCTCCGCAGAACCACCCACTGAGTGAGGACAAGCTGCTTGGATGCGTCCCCGTTACCGTAGCTACTGTCAGCCTCAGGCCCAGGGAGGGAAATACTAAAGAAAGAATGGGAATGGGAAACTCATAACCCATCTCAGCAACATTCATGAGCATGATCCCAATACTCACTGAAGCGGTGGCTGGTCAATGAAACACACACGCTGTTGTTTGGGGACTAACACTAACCCTTCCTTTTGACAGGGGAGGACACACAGCCATCATGGAACCCAAACCTCAGAAGAGTCCAGGTACCCGAGGGGTATAATCTCAGAAACAGAAATCTTTTTATTGAAAATGCCCCACAGTTCCCTTTAAGCTAACCAGGATACAGAACTTGGTTTTTGTGTATATTTTGTTTTGTTTCTTTTGTTTGCTCTGTTGCCTAGGCAGGACTACAGTGACGCGATCTCAGCTCACTGCAACCTCCGGGACTCAAGTGATCCTCTAACTTCAGCCTCCTGAGTAGCTGACACTACAGGCATACGCCAGCATGCCTGCCTAATTTTCATGTTTTTAGTAGAGGTGGGGTTTCTCCATGTTGGCCAGGCTGGCCTCAAACTCCTGGCCTAAGGTGATCCGCCCGCCTCAGCCTCCCAAAGTGCTGAGATTACAGGCATGAGCCACCATGTCCAGCCCCAGAACTTAGTTTTGGTGGGGATAATGGGTAGCATTCTATGACAATGTTTTTGGTTTGGGGAATGTAGCAGGAACTATTGGATTCAATTAATTATTGTGTCAGAGTTTACCTGTCTAGAAGTTTAGCATTTTCTGATTTTTGTGAGCCAAATTTTCCATTCATTGCCCAAAGACGATGTTAATAGCAAACTATGGGCCAGCAAAGATTAGAGAATATTTTCTTAATTTTACATGAAATTCTCACTTAGAGAAGCTGCCTGCATTGTCACTACGGCTTATTATGAGGGTAGCTCAATGTATGGTGTCCAAATATCCTTGCTCATATTCATACACTTCTTTGTAGGTGAGTGGACAGAAAAGCTAAATTTAGGATGAAGTCACTTAGAAGTTAAATTATCCAATTCAACTCAAAAATATTTACAAAGCACCAATTACTAGTAAGTCTTTGTGCTTTGGGTTGCAGGGGATATACAGATTAATAAAGAGGAGTCATTGCCCTCAAAGAGTTTTAAAATGTTGTTGGTGGGAGGCTGAGGCAGGTAGATCACTTAAGATCAGGAGTTTGAGACCAGCTTGGCCAACATGGTGAAACCTTGTCTCTACTAAAAATACAAAAATTCGCCGGGTGTGGTGGTGTGCGCCTGTAATCCCAGCTAATGAAGAGGTTGAGGCAGAAGAATCGCTTGAACCTGGGAGGTGGAGGTTGCAGAGAACCAAGATCGCATCATTGCACTCCAGCCTGGGTAATAAAGCAAGACTCTTTCTCAAAAAAAATAAAATAAAATCTTGTCAGGAACTTAAACACATGCAAATCACTGTGCTGGGAAATTAAGATTAGCCTATGATGGAAATCATGAAATAAGCACAAATGCTATGGGGTCTGAAGAAGAAAAAGCATTTAAGTAGCAATGAGAATCCAGAGAGGTTTTATAGGAAAGGCATTTGAGCTAGACCTTATAGGAGGAGTAGGGATTTTAAAGAAATCAGAAAAAAGAGCACATCCCAGAAGGAGGAACGGCATGACCAAAGCAATGAAATGGTATAGAAGCAGAATGTGTCAGAGCTGAATATACTTACAAGGTAGGAGAAGGGAAAATGGAGGATGAGGCTGCAGAAAGTTGTTGCCACATTGTGCCAGACCTTGACCACATGTGTCAGGTAACCTTGAAGCATTTTGAGCATTTTAAGTATGGAAGCGGCGTGGTCAGATCTGCATTTTAGATTTTTTTTTTTTTTTTTTTTTTTTTTTTTTGAGACGAAGTCTCACTCTGTCGCCCAGTCCGAAGTGTAGTGGCACAATCTCAACTCACTGCAACCTCTGCCTCCTGGGTTCAAGCAATTCTCTGCCTCAGCCTCCCGAGTAGCTGGGATTATAGGTGCCCACCACCATGCCTGGCTAATTT